GGTTAAGAAGCGTTTGGTGATGCAGGACAAGAATCTAACCGAGTTCTACACCAATCTAACGCCACCTGGATTTGATTTGTGACTGGGATCTGCATTTCTTCAGCAATTGAAGTCAAATAAACACGACCTCGGTTGTGGTCTTTTGCAGCTGTGCTGGTCACAATTAAAGAAAGAACGCTATCTTCCCATAGATTTGGTAGTAATGGTTTTTCTTGAAGCGGAGAGGCACTGACTGATTTTTCACGTGCAATATTATCCCGAGGTAAAGATTGCGCAGTGATACAAGGTCCATCTAATTCGGAGTGTTCATCAAAGAACTCGGTAGAATCGGAATTTAATCCCAACCCCGAATCAACTGACGGATTGAGAACAGACATTACACCTGGGCACACTGGAGACGTAGTCACCGAGTCGGGGTTAGACTCGCCACTATTACTGCCCATGTCGCATAAAGAAAACCCTGTAATCTCGTCACCAGGACAAGATGTCTGTTTCACCCAGCTGCTGGCCAGGGAGGTCGTTGAGGATCGAGCTGAGCCTGATTTGATTTGATTCGACTCAAGTGATTCGACACAACGATCAGACAGCAGACCACGTTTGCCCACCACGAAATCCGCTCGGCTTGATCGATCGCGCAAGCCGGACGAGGAATGAACTACGCGAGAGTGACGTCTATCTGAATCCAGATGGCAAGCCGACTCGTTTGCCTGTAGTTGGTCGACACATAGAACGACCGGAAGACCTGATCCCATAGCAAACGCCGCCTAAAAAATAGCAATGTGAATGAAATTATCAGCAAATGCCGTCTCAGATGCAAACTGTTAGACAAGTATATAAGAGGGAGTAAACAAACAAGTACTAGAATGGAAATGAGTTTAAACTACACAATGATTAGCGGAAAACACGACCGAAGTGAGTTATGAAAAGTGTTCCGAATGAAACTGTTATTGATGTATTGTTTTCAAAAACACCAAGGAAAGTTGTCATTTGAATAGGTGGAGGCAGAACACAGGAAAAACGAAATGCAATTGCATGAATGAGGAATGAAATCCAACATGGAGAGTAGAAAACCCTCAGAGAAGTACTCATATTTTTAATTGAAAACCCACCCACCCCCTCCAAAATCAACATTTTGATGCTGGCTTCATCACCAGAAGGAACCCTTGGGGTGAAAACACTCGAACAGCGGTATAAGACAAAGCATGGATTTTGCTTCAACTGTCAGGTATCTACCCC